CTCTGATGTGAGAGTACACACTTTCTTCCTGCATTTAGTTATTGTTCTCAATGTCTAGTTAATGGACTGTCTTGGTGGTTTTACATGTTTTTAGCCCATTAACTTCAAGTCTTTTACACATTGCATTAGTGCCAGCAATTGTCCCAAGTACACCAAGGTTTTAGAAAGCAACATGAAAATGAAGATATGCTTTAAGAATGGTGGTCAAACAGTTGTGGAATCCTGGATAGTTGGTGTTTCATCCATCATTAACCAGCAATCATCTGTGGGTTTTTAAGACTTTTTGTGTGATAAAACCTGTTACATCTACTCCTATTTGGGTTGCTGTTTCTTCAAACACACCTTGACTTGTGGCGCCATGCAGATTAATCTATTGAGGCTGCTGCAGAGAAATAAATCTCTCTCCGTTAGCTTTTCTGTGATTGATTTCCTTCCTGTGTTGTTGTCTGTGCAAAGCAGCACTTGCTCTTTGATTGTGAGAGACCCTTCCTGGTGATGTTAAAAAGAGCTGGGCATGATGTGAAGTATTTGGCTGCTTATCTACCAAAATAATAGAAATACATCACCAAAAATGTGACTAGAAATACAAAGCACATGCCCAGTAGCCACATTATTGTCTTTGTTGGTGATCTAATTGGTGTTTGTGTAGCTATCTCTATAAAGAAGGTGTAGCAGTTATTTATTTTCAAGGTGTGTTGCTCTTGTTGTTGAGATACAGTTGAGCAGTCCAGTATCCTCAGGACACTGGGTGCTATGGGGTTTTATGGAAGGTTGTCAGCTCTTGGAGGTTCAGTCTTGATTCATGAGTGGTCCAGAACCTGTAGAGAAATTCATCAGGCATGTGCCCACATACAAACAGGCTCAGTGCTATTAGCCCCCAGGGTTGATACTATCTCTGCCACACAGAGGAGGAAGAGGAGGATTTTGACCTGGTAGTAAGATCCGTCTGTGTTTGACACTCACCCTGAGGTTCCACTGGGTCACTACTCTGTTTGGCTCTGGGATCCGTGCATCTTAAAATCCCGCCGAGAGCGTTTCAGAACTGGTGTCTTCAGAGTGTGTTGCCTGCCCGGCGTTGTTAACTTATTTTGCCCTTATAAAGGATACAAATGGTGTGTTTATCCACTTAAAATCTCCCCTTATCTGCCTCTGACTGATTGACTGCACAAGATATTTTACTCTGAAAAAATGTATCATATTCTCTATTCAAACAAAAGAGGGAAGCAAATTTTCGTCTTGCAAATTTGACCACTGGGTGGTTGGTTTGTCCCAAACAGTCAATTCACAGACTGTAGCTGTAAACTAGCTAGAAACAGATCCACTGAATATGTACTGTAGTGCGTGTTGTAGTGGAGAAAATGCATTCTGGGATAGGTTTCTGTGAAACATGAAGCAAACATGTTCATTCTCATATGTAATGTAATGTTTTTCATCCAGTCTCCTTTCTTTGTCTTCTTGTCTCTGTATGTTTATGAAGCACATTCACAAAGCACCAAATTTTCTCTCAGCTGCAACGTTTTTTGAACTGGTGCAGACGTGATTTCGATACTGCCGCCTCTAAAATACAACTCGCTTTTGTCAGAACACATTAAACAGAGGATGTACCCTTTTGCTAAAAACATTCACAGTTCTTTACAATATATAATATTGGAGCTCATGAGCTTTATTTATTTCCTTTGTAATTGAGCAGCAGTTAAGATAAGATAGTATTGATCTCACACTGGGGAAGTTTACTAGTTGCTGACTGCTTTATGTGTTCAGTATTTTTTCCAGTGAAATTCTGGCGACCTCAGTTTATGGTAATTTACTATAAAGCTTAACTTTACAATATAATGCTGTAATATTTTATACATTTGTTGTCACTGGATTAGACTGTAATTGGGTTTACAGTATATCTGTTTAGAAAATAGTTTACAGGTATATATAATTTTAGCTGTTATTGTTAAAGCAAATTACCGTAAACAGATTTACAGATTTACTGTTTTTTTAATAATAATTTACTGTAAACAAACTGCCAAAAAAAGCATACCGTAATGTCTTCTACATCGTCCCCGTGTTTTTTTATGGTGAAGTTCTGGCAACCACAGCTGACAGTAGTGCCTATTACTGTGCACAAAAGTTTGTATTAAGAGCTTCAACTTCTTCAGTTGGTTATTAATTGAAGTTGTTAAATCATGTATTCAGTCATAATATCAGATACACAATAAGCCAGTTTCATTCAGAATGACACAAATGTTTCATACTTCAATATATCTAAACTTAATTCCAGGTTTATGTCCTGCTGTAGCTTACAAGGTGATCTTTAGACAGAAACCAAAGGTTCTGGGAAATAGCCAACATCTTTGAAACATTCAGGGCTAAAATACTGCTGTCTGTCAGCCAGCTGCCATTAATTTCACTTTCTTCTTCAGACACATCTCTCTTCATAATGGTTCATTCATTACCTCCAATAGGTGTTGCAGATTTATGCTTTGGCTCAGCTTGAGCTTAGGCTGCACTTTGCCAAGAAGACAGCTGGTAATATTTTAATATATAGACGTGCAGGCATCATCATTATTCAGCAGAATTAAAAGCTATTATTTTTTTTCCTCTCACACCCACAGATACCCCAGCTGTCCATCTGTACATGTGGAAGTAATAGCTGACTCTAGCTGTGTCCAGAATCGCTCCCCTGTTCCCTCATTCATTAGTTCAAACACAGGAAACACTCAGTGGGGTACTTTCAGATTTAAATCACCGTTATGCACCACTACTCTACTTTAGCGCATAAATTAGTAAGTGTCCAAAATTGCTCCCACATACTCTGCTCTCTGGACCTGAACTCAGAATCATGTTCGCTTATGTAAAAACAAATTATATTAATGTTTATTCAAAGTTTATGTGCTTGTAGTATTAGTATGGTTTTATCATACTCCAATAAGTGTGAGTGGGAACTTAAATACATTATATATGGGAACCTTATAGCCATAATGTCACAATTTAAATTGTCAGTGACTTTGTGACTGCTTCACCGGTAACTATCTTTATATACAGTCAGTGCGGCAAGGCAGAAACATGGCAGAGGATGAGCTGAAAGGGAAAGAAGCAGAAACAAACCCATAACTTCAAAATAAAGGTTAATAATAAAGGAGCCCTGTTGTCTTTAAAGTGATATCTGTTCTTGTGATGCTGATATTAAGGGTTGGATTGATTATTAAAAGGCTTCTTTAAGTGTCAAGTTGCTGAAGCTTATGACAAAAATATGACTGATTTTTATCTGGGTCTGCACAATATGGTAAAAACAGCATATTGTGATTTATTTATCTGGTGATTTGTAAGGCCAGGACATTATTCAGAACTACAATACTTCATTATAATGCTGTTTTGTCACACATTTTACCTTTATTTAAAAAGTTGCCTCTTGGGATTTTGATAATATTTCGATTTATTGTGCAGCTCTATTTTTATATTACACATTTTAAGCTTGTTCACTCTGGAAACCCAAAAACCCAAAAGTGTTTACGCCCAGTCTTGTTTTTTTTGTTTTGTACATGTCCAACAGTGAACTGAAGTCTTACTCTGCTTCCTCAGAGGTGTGTGTGTCTGGATGTGAGGGTGAGATCCCTGTTTGAAACCCTGCACGCTGCTCTTCACATGAAACGGCACACAAGTGACTGCCTCTGAGATCACATGCCAGTCAAACTGTGCAGTCAGGGAATGGGGAGAGAGGGAAGAAATGGATGAAGGGAATAAGTTTGCAGGCGAGGAGGACTGAGGAGGAGGAGGAGGAGTGAGGGGAACTGATGGAATTGCAGCTACAGTAGGTGAGCCACTGCCTCTGATTGCAGCTCTTGATAAAGAAAAGTATCAGATAGGCAATCAGAGTTGTGGCCTGAGAGGATTTGAAATTTTTGGTGGGCTATGGATTGGTCCACCTGTTTATCTGCTCGCCTATCTTTGAGAGGGGCTGATGGGATTTTGACAGCACTGAGGAGAATGATACGTCTCCACTGGCGTTTCATAATAACACGTCAGGATGTGTAATATCACAGTCTAAAACAGAGCTGCAAGCTAAAATTAACAGGAGTAAAGCAAACGCACGCATGGGAGAATGCCACAATGTTGAAGGCAAAGAGAGTCGCTCCAGTTAATCAATCATTGTTTAACCTTTTGAAGGTCCTGTAATATGATATTCATAGGTATGGTTTTATTAGTGTATAATCATCTGAAAATAGTAATCGGGTTGCCTTCCATGGAGGTTGCCAAACGTGGTTTCTCCTACACACTTCACAGCCCGTTCTCATTTCCAGGTTGTCAAACACAGATGTGAGTTGTGTTCATTTAGTTGCCACTTGATGCCACTAAATCCTACACATCCTTTAAAGGATTAAAAAATAGTAGAAAATGTCCATCACAATTTGCCAGAGCCTGAGGTGAAGTCTTTAAATATATTGTTTTTTTGCGATCAACAGTCTAAAATCTAAAGATTCTCAGTTCATATTAATTTAAAACAGAGAAAAGCAGCAACATTTAATAAGCTGAAACCAACAAATGTTTTTGACAACATACATGATTAATTAGTGATCAATAAAGTTTTTGTCGTGTCATTTTCTGTCAATAAACGAGCCCAACGAGTCGTTTCTGCACTGATTAAAGTCATGTAATAAACCAAAATACAGCCTTAAGAATTACTGTAACCTTGAATAAATACATGTTGTACACAGAAACAGTTGATTACAAATTACAGTACTAAGTATCTCAGAGATGTTCATCATCATGTGTATCTCCTGTGAATCAAACCTACTCACTAACAAGCTCTGACAGTTTTTGGTGGATGTTTGTTTCTCAGTATTCGCCTGCTCTGGATTGTGACCATGAGTTTGGTTCCTGTCACCCCGTTAATTAAACATTGATTATTTTAAGAGGTTTGTTTGTTTGCCTGACCTTGAGCAGGTAGGAATACTTATTTTTTATACGGCAGTTGGAGTAATCAACTCTTCCTTTCTGTCCCTTCCTTGCAGAGCATGTTCACTCTTCTGTTGGGTCCTTTCACCTTCTTCAGTGCCCAGAAGACCAAATATCTTCAGATTCTCACCTCGCTCATGCGCTGGATTGGTAAGAATAAACTATTTCTAAGATTCAGTGTTTTGGTATAATGAAGATTTTGACTTTTTCACCTTTCTCAGTTTTTCCCGTTTGGTTTCTTCCAGCCCTCTCTTTTTCTACTAACATATATTTCCATTTTCTCTGCGTCTCCCCCCATTTCTTTCATCCCTCCCCCTCCTCCTACCCTCGCCTGTGTGGCTGCCGTGCTCAGGTCCGTCCATCATGGTTCGGTCCTGCTCCGTGTCTTTGATTCCCATCTCCTCTCATTCCTCAGCCTGACAGGCTTGACAGCCCGTCCCAAGCTTGATTGGACCGTCACTCACAGGGCGACGGGCGAAAATAAACCGCCCGTCCTGGGTCCGCTGTTAAAATCACAACACCACTGAATCATGGCGCTCCCGCCACCCCCGCACAGCCGCCGGTGCTAGCTCGCATAAACAACACACAGACACAGCAGCATCCACACACTGTCCACTGTCTGTCTGGCTAAATAACACGGGCGGTTCTTCATCTGTCTTCACCCTCCACTGGCAGCTTGTGTATTTGATTGGTGTTGTCGCTTCGGTAGGGCTTTTTACAACAGTGGCTAATGATTCAAAATGGCTCAAGTCCAAGCTGTGTGTTTGCACCGTGTATTGGAGCAATAACACGAGGGAAAGGACACCCAGAGATCCAACAGATCCAGTAAAATTTTATTTTAATTTTAGAATCATCTAGAAAAATCACAAAATCACTGTCAATAAATTTGACTAAAGCCAAAGAAAATCATGTTTGGTTGATCTTAGACGTGACATGCTAATGATGGAAAAAGTTTGTAGGATTTAGCAAAGGCTCGGCTGAAGCAAGTATCGATACAGATACGAGTATCATACCAGTTAATTGTGTCAATATCCGTACTCAACTTTTATAAAAATTAAAATACTTGTTCTGTAAATACTCTTGTGAGCACTGAAGTTCAGTTCTGTAAATAGTTTTCTATAAATGTAGCAACTTCTGATCAACCCATATTAAATTTCATTTCAGTAAATTAACAACGTCTGGTTAGTCCACCCACTTCTGGTCTAAGCACCACTCATATCACGTTTCAGCTTCCGTCCAGTTCGAGTACGAATACAGATAATTTATTGTTGAACAGATACTGTTAATGGTGTACTCGCTCATTGCTAGACGTTAGTAAAATAAAAAGACATGCACCACACACACCCCTGTGACACTTTATTTAGCAAGAGATCCCAAAAGAAATTTAGTCGACATCAACACTTTCCTTTTGTCATTATACTGTGTGAAACGTGCTGTGAACACAGGACGAGGTTTATATTGGTACTGTATATCATTAGTTAAAGCATTATTTCTTTTTATTACAACTTGCCATGATTCCTGTTAATAATAATGACGACGATGATATTGTGTTCACCAAGGTAATTGATGATCAGGTAAAAAGAGGTCACATCATGAAGTTTGTCAGGCAACCAAAGGCAAAATATAAATTTATGAGGTTTACAGACAGACTTTAACCTACTGTACTCACTGCAGTTGTGTGCACGTAGTTCTCTTGTGCAAAGTGGGATTATTACCAATATGTCACTTTGTGGTTAATCTCCATTTAAAGTTGTTCCGATTAGTTGATTAGATTAATGTGACTGCTCGTGTTCCTTGACCTGTCAGGCTCTGTTGTGGCGATGCATTCGTATAATGTAATCATGGGGGATAGAAATTATTAAGAAAATAAGACCAGAATTAACCTTCAAGAACAGGGGTAATAACCTTGTGTAGCATTAGGAATCAATCCTTAGATGTCTGGTCCAACTTTGTACATAAGGTTTTCTGTTAGGTCATTAATCTTGACCATGGGCTGTGTTCCCTTAATGTTTTCTGCCTAGCTTTGCATCTTTATTTTGAGTGCAGAGAACCGAGTACTGTACATTTCCTAGTGTATAAAGAGAGTTTGAGTTATAGATTATTTGTTGGAGCTGCTAAGAAAATATTACGCTGTCAAGACATTCTCTATTTTCAGATATATGTCAGTGTGGTTTGTTTTGGACAACTACAAGGTGTTTGGTGTGATCAAAAGCACTGTAACGCACTGCAGCAAGTGGCTGCAGTATCCTACAGTACTCCCCCATTTATATGCTGCTCCCAAACTGTGCCTTTAAATCAAATGTGAAAGTCATAGGTGTGTTCACAGGTGTTTTATTGCGGCCTCAAGCATGGAAACATCTGATCCATTTCAGAAATACCAACTCCGCTCTAGATATAGCTTTAAGTCAAACACTCCCCTGCAGGCTTGAGATGTGGCTGTAAAAGATTTATAGTTTGACTAAAAGAGCCAGTTTTGACACGATTGATGAATTCAAGCTGATCACAGTCGCTGTTCTCTAAATGCTAACTCTGGATGGAGTATCACTTAAAATGTACCACACTACTTTACTTTAGTTTGGTTATTTTTGAGTCCCTGTGTCTCTCACTCTCTATTTTATTTGACACTGAACACTCTGTGGAAGTAGGACCCCACCACCCCTCCTGACCATTACTCACCACTCCCTGGACACACCTGAGGTCACCTGTGCTGCCCTGTGAGGGAACGTGGTGTGTTGGATGTCAGGGTTAGCAGCTGGCTGGTGTGTTGGGGCTCTGCCTCCTGCCCTCGGCTCTGGCCTTGTCACGATCGTTGCCACTCAACTGTAGTCACCTTCTCGTCCAGTGAGCCCAGTTTTTTTTACCCCAAACATGAGTGATGATGTGACCGCCTGCTGCTGTGCTGCCTGTAGCATGCTGTGATTTTCAGTGGAGTAGCCATTAGCTTGGGTCGGTGTGACACTGTTTTTACAACCTAGAGACTCCTGACTGCAGTAATTTAGTCAAGTCTTTGTGCCACTAAAGTAAGATGGAAAGTGGTGCAAAGGGCAGCGTTTTGGCTCAGGCCATCTGCATGCAATTTGGTTGGACTAAATTTATATATGCAACCCTTAAATGGGCACACACATATAAATGTTTTGGAAAATCAATCAATTGCTATATTCTGTGTATCTAGGCTAAAATAACACAATTTGATGATTTTTTTTCCAAAATATGACCTTTCTTTTCACATTTACAGACTGTATCTCCCAACATTTCCCATTTAGATTAAATTTAGATTTTAAATTTAACATTTTGCCTACTTTTAAATATAGGTTAAATAAAAAAAGCTAAGCTGTATTGTTGTTCAGGTGAAAACAGTACACTTTTAGAGTCATAGGGCTGTCCAGTGCCAGAAGCAAAAAGGAATTAAAGGTGTGAAAATTTGTCATAAATCGGGAGAGATACAGGAGAATTGTGACCTCGGGAGGAAATCAGGAGAGGGCAATGAAAATCTCCTGGGTATGAGTCATATTGACAGAGTTGTTACTGACTGGCCTACAAAGAGATGTGCCATGTGTTCATATTTTTATGTTAAGTTTTATTTAATTTAAAAATGAAAAAACACAGAAAACAATACAATAAGAATTTAACAGCATGTGAAGTCTTTATGTGACTCATAATAACCTTTTGTTGCATCTATCCCCTACTCGTTTCCTATCATCTCTCTAGAACAAGTACCTTTAATAAGCCCTCCACCACTGGTTCTTCCTTCTTCTCCCCACTATAAATGTGGGCCACAGATACTGAAAGACTCAAACACTGTCCACTCCAACCAGTCATTATTCATCTCCTTTTGAAATTTCAGGAGCTTGTTAACCTTTGCGTTTATCTTTTCAGCGTCGAGTAATAACGAGCCAAAATCTTGTACACCGGAGATGTGAATGGAGCTGCATATAACATACATCATTACTCACTGTAGCACATTAATGTTAACCTTTTGGATAAAGCATTATTACCAATTGGCATTTGTGATTTTAAACAAACCCCATGTAACACCGCTTTAGGACGTCGTAACCACTCTGTTTCTCCTTAAATTTACAGCCAGACAAAATTAGTATTGATAGTAGTATATGAGCAGTTAATTGGTCATTTATAGTATATTTCAAATACATTATACTTGTCACAGCCTGTAACTAGTATCTTTTATGCACTGAAAAACAAGCCACATATGTGAAAAGTTAAACCACATCGACACTAAAACAGACAAATGAGATGTGGAATAGAGTTATTGAGTATAGCATAGTGTCGTCACCATACAATTTCCATGCACATAGGTCGATGTGTAAAGAAAGGTAAATACTGTTGCAACCTGTTGCAGTCAGTCACTTCATTTCCTGCCCACTGAAAGCAGGACGATCATTAACAGCTCTCCAGAAGGCCACCTCCTTAACGCTGAGAGGAGTAGAGAGCTCCTCTAATTGATATTGAGTGGTATGAGAGGAAGGGAATAAGTTAACAGCCTCTTTGCTCAGTAAACGAGTATTAATCACTTCTGTCCATCTCTCCTGGGGTGGATGGATGGCTGTTTGGAGCCTCAGTGGGGTTACTGTCTATATGAACTGTTGAATGTGTGACATATGGATCCTGTGCTGTCACATTTATTTCAGAGGAAAGCAAAAGATTTTAATCTGGTGTTTCTTGATGAAACTGTCATCCTACCACAGGTTTGTTGACGTGTTTCTTCATTTTCCTTCTGAGTTTATTTACAAGAGCTAACAGCTTACAGTTTTACATAGTATGTCTGTAAATTAGAGCCCAGCACAGGCCAAACGCTCAAACCCTAGCTTGGCCCCAACTAGTCGGCAATTTGACTTTCATGACACAAGCGCTCTCTCAAAAACACACACTAAACAGAACTACTGGTGCCGACAATCATGCCCACAAATATTAATAACTACTGTCCATTACAGAAAAGATTAAGCATTCAGTAGAGAATATGTATAAAATATATCCAGCAGCAAATAAGTAAATCAAGTTTTACGGCCTGCCTTTCTTTGATGTTAAGCTGGTCATCATTCACTGTTTATTGGCGAGTGTTAAAGAAAAGGAATGTCATTGAAGGTTTTAGAGACGTCCTCCCCTCCTCCAACATCCTCCCTGCTGTGCTGAAA